AACCCATGACCGAAAAAACGACAATCAGCATTACGATGCAATCACTCACAGTCACAACTATCCTATTACCGCATGCAGAGCATACACAGGGGAGTCCAACCTGTATGCAGAGGGAGTTCGGTTTCCGTCTAAAGCTGTTAGTTCCGAGAGGAAAGTAACCGGAATGTAGCGGTTGAGGAGGATTTTAGGTCAATTTACTTGGATGATTTTCCGTCCCATGGCGCCCGCGCGCTCCCCTCCATCACTTCCCGCTCAACGCGTTTACGGGCTGAAACACCGACTCGAGGGAACCCTAAACCTGGAGGATCAGGAGACTGGATTCTGTCTGAGCTATGCCACTTCCACTTCCTGGTATGATTTGATCAATGGCTCTACGAAAGACATGCCGTTTAACTCGTTCGGTTCGAGAGCTGCCTAAGCCATCACACAACGTCGAGGTGCAATCTCATTGTGACGGAAATGAACGTTTTACGTTCAGTGACATTCAACCTGAAGGAAAAGAACTAAGTATCATCACAGTGGTGCTCTTTGAAGTAGTGATTTTCAAGTAGATGGTCTTTTTTAAGGGATTGTATTTGAGCATCTTTTGTGGTTTAGATTCGACCCCAGAAAAGTTTAACGGTACTCCCTTACCGTGGATTTCTCAGTTTATGATTTCTACATTCCGATATTTCTCAATAGCCAGGTGAGATTTTTCCGCTGGCAGGATACGTTCCGGGGCACAAAGTTAACGTTACTTTTAGCTTATATAGATTGACCAGTTTTGAAGATCTTCGACGTTCATGGTACATCATGCATATTCGGAGACACCAGGTTTAGCAACGGATGGTCATGCACATCACGTGTTCGAACTTACCCTCGCATCAAGCCTGCTGCCATCATCGCAGCAGCTGTCGCTGCTGCATCGCCTGCTGGTCCTGCATTGGGCCCACCGGCGGTTTGACCACCTGTTGCAGCTAGCATCGCGGCTGCGGATGCATGAGGTAAGCTGCCGGCCAAAGCCTGCGTCACGGCTGCTGCCTGGCCTCCTGAGCGTCCGGCAACATTAGCTCCGGGACCGGCACCGCCAAACAATCCAGCCGCAAGTACATTGCCCTAAGTACAAACGAGACCAAACGTGGATTAGTCGACGAGACGGAAACCAGTAGACATCTTCAAAGCCGTTCTCATTGTAGCAAACCCACGAGTTCCCGGTTTCTGCTTGCGGTACGTTGTTCAATCTGGGAGCAATATTACTCAGCTTGTTGGTGTGGAATGTGAGCTGCAGAAGTTCTTAACAATGGCAGATCACAGACAATGGAAATTGACCGCTGACTAAACAAATGTGAATTATTCAGCTCAGATAGGGTTCCAGGACGCTGGTACCGTTAGAGGTAAAGTCAAAGGTTAAAGCGCTTGGTTCAACAAAACTCGCGCACTAGTAGCGGTTCAGAAACTGGTAAAAAACCGAGTACCGTTCATCGATACTAAATCACCATCGTTACTGCGTAGTCATGTCATGATGCGATGGATCTTTATAAAGGTAACGAGTTGTGTTTAGTTAACAAAATCAACAGTTAAAACCACGAGGTTATAAAGCTTTGCATAAATGACAGCAACATTCAGAAACCAATCTAGCCGTTGTCGTATGACTGACGAGAGGAGAATCCAAGATACTTTCCAGCTTAGGTGCATTAGCATCAACGAATTTTAGTAATGGATTCCTGAAAATAGCGTACTTTCAGACTTCTCTGAGTTGGATAAGCTCGTCATAACCTTACAGCCTCTCATCAACGATACATAATTTTGTGTCAAGAACATTCAGAACATTCTCACGGGATTGTAGCACTTTTCTGGAGACTTACTTGTCCGTAAGTAGCATTTGAGAGATTGCTTCGTCGCTGCACCATGCCTAAACCAGCATTCTGGTTTCCGACGCCCCACCCACCATACTCCGAAGCTATGGATTCATCAACATCCCTTGCATCGTAGTTCTGACGAGAGCCTTTCGGTGGAGCGCCCTTCAAAAAGAATTATTTAATGATGTCAGGTTATTACCTCAAGCAACTCCGCGATTGACTGAAGACAATCAATCACTTTTTCAACGTCACCAACAAGCTGAATCACACGATCCGTAGAATTTGGGCAAAGCATTTGATACACTTTGAGTGTTTGTAGACCAGATTGCTGAAAAACCAGCATTATAGAAGGCAAACAACTTACCTCGCGCAGTTCTTTAATTTTGTAGCCGCCTCGTCCGATGATGCATCCGGCTTGACTTTGGTGAACTAGCAATCTGAGATCAACGCCTTCATCTCGATTATTTTGCATCTAAAACTGATGGTGGTTTCAGAAGAAGCCTACCCGTTCCAGGTTTTCTTGGAAGATTTCGATAATGGACCCCAGATCACCATCCAGCACAAGCACCCTTGAGATGAAAACGAATGGTTAGCAAAAAAAATTGCACGTTGTGACTCAAGCACAACAGTATACCTTTCAGGTCCGTTGCTATCAGGAATCATAACCTTGACGGAATACTAAATGCAGCAACCCAAAAAGAAACAATGACCCACCGGGAAGGAACCGGTTGCATAGCACGCAGGACGCGCGCACGAACGCGCGTGAGCAGGACGGGGCAGGGCGGGACGGGGTAGGGTGGGTTACGGACCAGATTTGGACAAGTTGCGGGGCATTTCGGGCGGGCCAAGAGTGGGACATAACCACAATATAGATGGAAAAGAACAGAAAACAAGCTTATATGTTAGATCTTAAACGTTAGGACCACCACAGAAAATCGCTACCTAATTGCGGAGCACGAAGCTTACCTCTTCCCGTATCTTTTGTATATTTTCACCACCCTTCCCAATGATGACGCCGGCGGCCTGCAGGAAAATCGGGGGGAATGGTTGGCAGCGTGAAACGCATTCATTCATGAGCATGCATGTCATCGTACAGCGAATTACAGTTATACGAACTTTACTGGTGGTAACCACACTCTTACAAGGTTAGTGAGA